TCCAAGCTAGGCTAGCTTTGGGTTGAAAGAAGGAGAGAGGGAGGAAACTCAACGCCAAAGCTGACTCCTAAATACAGGAGTAGTCAGTTTGCACTTTGTTTAAGAATAAACATCCCTTAAAGCATGGACAGGAAGGACTTTTTGGGGCGGGGCGGGGGGAATCTTCAGATTTCCAAGAAATTTCCAAAGCTCTCTGAGTCTCTCTCTGCTTAGAAAACATTTTTCTAATACCTTAGTGTCTGTCTTCCGACCTAATGATTGTCTTGCTTTTCTCTATCGGGTAGAATAAAACCGTCTCAGGAGCAGGCTACTTTCCTAGGAGGTCCCTTGAAAGGGCAGAAGGAAAAGCATAAACACAGAAGGATAAAAGCTTTAAAACAGGTACCTGGGTGCAAGATTTGGATCTGTAGCTTATTAGCCATGTAACCCTAGGCAAGTATATTAACTTCCCTGAGCCTCAGTCTGCTGGTACACAGAATGGATCAATGAGATAATGCATAAGGCAAGCAGGACTTGGCAAATAGTTAAGATTCAATGAAGAACGATGATGATGATGATGATAATGATGGGACCAAGTACTTCTGAACTGTAAAGGAGCCCATCTTGGAGGCCCCTAGACATCCACATTCCTATAAGGACTCATGCCTGAGATCCAGGTGCTCCCCAGAGTCCCCTTCTCAGTATTGCCCACGTTCCTGTTCCTGAGAACAGTCTCAGCAGGAACCATTAAGCTTCTTGAAACCACCTACCTCACTCACCAGGGGCTCTATCACATCACAGCGCATGACAATAACTAATCGACTCCTGCGGCACTTTCTACCCCTTGTCCCCTTGATCCTCCCAGCTGTTAAGTGGGTGGGTATTTCTCCCCATTTTACAGAGGGGACAACTGAGGCAGAGGCAGGCTAGGTAGTCTATCCAGGGTTTGAGCCTGGCTTTGAACCTGCATTCCCTGTGATCTTGTTTCACAAGAGTCTCAAGCTGTAGTTTGAGGTCTAGCCTTGCTGGGGAAGGGGGAGGAGTATGTTCTAAGTGTGTGGCTAGGAAATCCTCCTCACACTCTTACAGGTACTTTGTGAGCAGACAGGTGTGAGTGTGTTAGTCACTCGGTCGTGTCCGATTCTCTGTGACTCCATAGACTGTAGCCTATCAGGCTCCTCTGTCCATGGAATTCTCCAGGCAAGAATACTGGAGTGAGTTGCCATTCGCTTCTGCAGGGGATCTTCGAGACCCCGGGAATGAACCAAGGGTCTCCTGCACTGCAGGCAGATTCTTTACTGTCTGAGGCACCGGGGAAGTCAAACAGATACATATTAGGAAATGCAGCATCTGGGGATGTCCTGAGATCCCTAATGTATCCCTAAGACAGCAGACTACCCTAATTCAAAAGAGATTTAGAGGGCAGAGTGGACAAGGAGCCACAAGAGGGGTAGGTCTGGGTCCTGGCTACAGGTCAGCAACTGATATCTTGCCCAGAATAACTTTGGGCAAGATTCAGAAGTTCTCTTGGTCCCCACTTTCGACATTAAAAGCAAAAAATAGAAAGGTAGACAGAAGCTCAGTTTAGGCAAAAAGACATCTGCAATTCTCATCATCATTACTTTGGCTTTGAAATCGACAGCTCAGAGACCCCCCACCACTTTTTAAAAATTTAAAGACAAAACAGTATAACTTAACAGTTCTGCCAACTCTTAAAAAGAAAAAATCAGAGAGCACAACACTGACTTTTTTTTCTTTTTTTTTTTAATTTTGGCAAAGGAAGATTCAGTTCCTGGAAATGCTTGCAAAATGATTCCTGACACTGGGGGGAGACAGTTAAAAAAAGAAGACGACGAAAACTTATTAAACCCATGTAGTAAAGGACGAAGGTGGGAAGAAAGAGAATCAACGAAAGAAAGAAAAGAACTAAAAGAGATAGAAGGTGGGGGGGTGGGAGCCATTAAAGGGCCCCAATTCAAGGAACGTTATCAAGTTCTCAGCATCTGCAATTCACAAGCCGCTTGTGAGTCGGGGCGGCGCAGACTCCGCCCCTTTCTCGGGTGTCGGACGCTCATTGGTGGGGGCGGCAGTCGCCGGCCGGTGACTGCCCGAGGAAAGGTTGCCTGGGACACGCATCCCTGTGTGAACGCATGACGTCCCACCCTGGCGCCAGGCTGTCTGGGGCTGAGTCTTAGATCAACACAGCTGTGGGACCGGGACCCACAGCTGGGCAAAGGAGCGGATTCCTCAACAAAAAATAGGATTGTGAGAAAAGTTCTGAAACAAAAACAGCGCAGACAAAAGCCTTAATGACATCCTTTCATAAAAATAAAAAATGCAAGAGGGGGGAAAAAGCTGGTAAAAGGAGCAGAACTGGGAACAGAAAGTTCAGAGGCATTTGGAATAAGAGACTGAGGCCCCACCACCGCTAAACAAGTTGCAGAAGGCCTGAGCTAGCCCTTCAGTCCGCTATTGGGAAAAAGAAGTCTTTTGGGTTCAAACTTTATCCAGTGTTCTCAACCGTAACCCATTTCTTTCAGAATTAGCATCTTACATTGGAGAGTACCCTTAGAGGTCATTTGCTCCCCCCGCCCCCAATTTTACAAAAAATGAAGCCCAGGAAGGAAGGAAATTCTTCCAAGGCCACATTGCAAGTTATTGACATGACCAGGAAAGAATTCTGCTTGCTAATCCCACTGCATCTCTTTCCTGCCTGTGTCGCCCAGCTCCTGGGCATTTTAGCCTGAAAGCATCTTCAGAGATACCGCGAAAGTGCGTTGCAAACTTCTGTACAAGCCCGACATCAGTGGTAGTGATGGAGGAGGGAAAAGAGATGGGGGATCTAGGTGCCTGCTGCTACGTCGCTTCAGTCATGTCCGACTCTGTGCGACCCCATAGACGGCAGCCCACCAGGCTCCCCCGTCCCTGGGATTCTCCAGGCAAGAGTACTGGACTGGGTTGCCATTGCCTTCTCCCGAATCTTCGTGGACCTGTGGACTAAGCACGGACCACTCAACCAGACACACGCACTCAGCAGTCACTTGCCCTCACATCCACTCAACCAGTCCTCAGGCACCAAGGAGACTAATGGACGTGATGGGAGTCAGTATGTTAAGCGCCTTGCAGAGAAGAGACATTTAATAATTATTTGTGGAAGGAAGGAGGTAGATCTAGTTAGCTCCATTTTATAAATTGGAAAATTGAGGCACAGAGACGTGACTTACCCAAAACTCACAGGTTTACTAAAAAAGAATGGAAATTTGAACATAAAAATGCCTAGCCCCAAAGGCCATGATTTTTTCCAGAACCTGGGCTTGACTGTTTTGCACAAACCATGGAGGCCTGCATGACAGAAAAGGAAAAGGTTTTCTTTTTGGTCATGCAGGAGTCCTCATAGTCACCATATTCCTTTCCTGAGACCAAATAGCTGACAGGCTCTCCAGTTGACTTCCGTAGCATATATAGACTGATCTGTCCATTCACAGGATATTTTCATCCTCTTATAGTAAAGAGACTGTCCTTGAAAACATCCATATTTCAGGAAGAAATCTTTTGAAGACCTTTTACTTGGGACACAGATTCCTGTGGTATGACAGCAAAAAAAAAAAAAAGAAGACTTTGGGGTTGGCTCTGCTGTTACTTGTGGTGTGACCTTGGAAGCATCTTATAACTCCTTTCTGGACCCTTTACCATCCCACACCTGCCTGTCCAAATTTCATAAAGCATCAGACTTCTAGAGTTGGAAAGGATTTCAAATAACCACTTAGCGCCATTTCCCCACTTTATGCACAAGGAACCAAGGCCAGGGTACCTGAGCTTGCCCACGATCATAGGACAGATTATTGGCAAGGCTGGGAAGTTGATTCCAGGACTCCTAACTCCCAGTCTAGTGTCCTGTTTCACTAGGACTCTTTTGAGATTGTCCTAGCTCTGAGCTCTCATTGTCCTGTTAATCAGTGCCACACAGTATAGAACTCTTAATTGTTTCCGGTGTTAATTTTGTCTCTCCAAATTCTGGGCTCCTTGAGAGCAGAAGTCACTGTTTTAAGGAAAGCAACTCCATAAATATTCATCAACTGATTGATTAGGGAAGCAACCATTGGGGGATCCCACCTGGTCACTCCCAAGACCCCAAGACGGAAACCAGCATTCAGAGGCTGCACTTTCCCCAAAACCCTTGGAAATGACAAGAAGACAAGCAAAGAATGCAGTGTCCCATTGCAATATGGGGCTTACTCGCCTGTCCCCCAGTTCCTTTCTTGGGGGCTCTCAGATAGAGCTGGAGCCATTTCAGCAAGGCTAAGAATAATCAAGTCCAGGTGGCCTGCCCTTCCACAGCAGAAAGAGACAGACAATAGCGTGATGAAATTACCAAACTATTGTTTTCTGCATAGAGGTGTGTGGAGAATGTGGGGTTGGGGGGAGGGAGAAGGGAGAGTTTAAAAAATATTAACTGACCCAAAGGGAGCTCCTAAAAAGATTATCTAGAAATCAGACCGTCTGTACCCCATATTCAAAACCCTGTTCAAAATTCTAATCAAACTCACTTCCAAAACATAACTGGGCATATATTTGGCTCCTTTTGGAATGCATGAGGCCAGAGAGTGGGAGCTCTTTTTCTTCCCCATGCAAAAAGCACAATTCAAGCCCCCCCCCTTTTTTTTCTTTCTCCCTGTTGCTCAAACAGTGTTCTTTGCTCAAACCCCCTTCCCCTCCTCCTTCTGCAATCTCAGCGCCTAGCCCAAATCTGTTTTCTTCATTGTAACCTCAGCTTCACCGCAATTAATTTTTTCCCCCTCTGGTCACAAGATAATTCCTGACGCCAGTGAGTCTGGAGGTCAGACGAACAGCAAATTGGGGAACAAGGCGGCACTAATTCCTTACAAGTTTCCCTTGAAAAATCTTTTGCTTAAAAAAAAAAAAAAAGCTTTGCTGTTCAGGGATTTATGACCTCGGAGGACTATGGGTTCGAACCAGTATTGAGCTGTAGGTGGACTGGCAAGGGGGCAGGGGAGCTCGAAGATATGGGGCGCTGCCAGGAACAGGCAAATTTAAAAGTTAATGGTTTTAAGTGATTTTTTTAAATCCTTTCTGGCAAAGAGGCCCGCCTCTCCCCAGTATCAGCGCTTCCTCATTCTTTGAATCCGCGACTCCGCGGTATTCGGCGTCAGACCGGCCAGAGGAAGCCTGTTTGCAATTTACCCGGGTTGTGAACGCCCAGGGTTGGCGGAGGCGGGGCCAAGGCGGGCTGTTTTGCATAAGGGGGCGTGCCCTCCAGGCCGACTCTATAAGTGCAGACTTCGGAGAGCGTGCGCGCGTTGCAGGCTGCTCTAGAGGGTCTCTGGCTTTCTCCTTCTTTCCAGCACTTCCCAACCTCATTTCTCAGTATGAAGGCGCTCAGCCCGGTGCGCGGCTGCTACGAGGCGGTGTGCTGCCTGTCGGAACGCAGCCTGGCCATCGCGCGGGGCCGTGGCAAGAGCCCGGCCGCCGAGGAGCCGCTGAGCCTGCTTGACGACATGAACCACTGCTACTCGCGGCTGAGGGAACTGGTACCCGGAGTCCCGCGAGGCACTCAGCTTAGCCAGGTGGAAATCCTGCAGCGCGTCATCGACTACATCCTCGACCTGCAGGTGGTCCTGGCCGAGCCGGCTCCTGGGCCCCCAGACGGCCCGCATCTTCCCATCCAGGTGCGCGCGGGCGTGCTCGGGAGCTGGGGCGGGGCTGAGCTCCAGGGCTGGGATGCTACGGGGACCCCTGGACCTTCCAAACTCCGTGCGTAAACCCTACCCCCCTTTTCCTTCTCTCAGACAGCCGAGCTCGCTCCGGAACTTGTGATCTCCAACGACCAAAGGAGCTTCTGCCACTGACCTGGCCCGTCCTGGCGCCTCCAGGTGAGTTATCCAAGCCGAATCTCTCGGGGGCGGGGAAGGGGGACGGCTGGTGCTTAAACGGCAGATCTTAAAGTTGGTAGGCCTTTTAAAGGATTGCCGTGGCCCCCTCGGTTTAGGGAAATTAGGGCCAGAGAGTCGCAAGTGACTTGCCTGTGGTCACATCAAATGAATGACGGAACCAATTCCGATCCAGAGTTCGTTTCAACCTAAAGTGCACGTTGTTACGGTCTTCCCCCATTGGCCAAAGACTCGAAACTAGACGCAGTTCCGACTAAATAAAATAACCAGTCTGTTTGTGGCTTGGAGTCGTAAAAGGAGCCGCGTTTCCCTCAGCCCCCTCCCAAGTAGTGTCACTTCCAAGAGGGAGGGGTGGTGCAAGCTCCGCCTGTGGTCCTTAGGCGCCAACTGGGTGGGGGCAGTGTGGGGCGCGGAGTTATCAGCTGGAGGTAGAGACCAAGTTTCCTCCCTGGCGCCGGCCAGTCTGCGGACGGCCCCCGCTTCGGCGCGCTCGGCGGAAACTGACGGCTCCCTGGTCTTCTTTCCTCCCCCGCCCAGAACGCAGGTGCTGGCGCCCGTCCGGGACCCCGGGACCCTCTACGGCCGGAAGCCCGAGGGCATGGATGGGCCTCAACCTTGCCCTGCCCACTTGACTTCCCCAAACCCCTGCCTCGAGGCTGGACCTGCGCCCGGGAGCGAAGGACTGTGAACTTGGGTGGCCTAAAGAGCCAGCGCTAGCTCTGGGCACCAGCTGGGCAACCTCCCCCAGCCCTCCCCACTCCCAAGTTTTAAAGACTCTTTCAATGTGTGGAGGTGTACGGGGTTGGGGGTGGGGGCTGGCTGTTCTCCAAATTCTGCCTTGGCCAAGGCAGCGGTAGAGCTGGTCTTCTGGTCTCCTTGGAGAAAGACTCTGTTGCCCTGATTATGAACTCTATAATAGAGTATTTAGCTTTTGTACCTTTTTTGCAGGAAGGTGACTTTCTGTAACCATGCGATGTATATTAAACTTTTTATAAAAGTTAACATTTTGCATAATAAACGGTTTTTAAACACTTGTGTTTATAATTTGATTCCTTTCAGTACTAACACTGTTTCTCACAAAGCTGGATTTAGGGAGAATAAATTCATGTCTTTCTTGGAACTTAGGAAAAGTAAACTTGCTTATTCCCTTAAAAGGGAGATGGGAGAATGTCCAGCTAAGCCTGGGGAAGAGGGGGAAGTAGAAAGGGCTCATGGGGGAGCCCCACACGCATAGGGTGCAGAGAAGAACCTTGCCCTGCCTCACTTTACAAGTGAGGGAAGACTGGAGAGAGGGAGGGACTGGAAGGAGCTCACCCACCAAGTTGGGGGCCTAGGATAGAAATCTCTCCTGAGTCCCAGTTCTTAGGTCGTTTGAGAGCTGTGTTGCTAACTAGCAGATGGCGGTCCTCATTAATGCCATTAATCATGATGTTTCTCTAGCACGGGATGTGAAATAGGACCCTCACCTGCCAGGCAGGCATGGTGCTGATAGATCCATTTCAGAGATGAATAAATGGATCATTGGGCTTGGTTTACTTCCCGCCTTACGTTCTCTGGTTTATTTCCTCTTGGGCTTCCAAAGTTGGGGAAAATAGGAGAGGGTCTCTTCCCTCAAATCTGATCAACCACTCTGATCAAAAGGATTTCTGTGCTGGTTGGGAAATAGGGGAATAAATTCTACCACCAGGTACTTGAAGACTAAGCCTAGACTTGGAGTTAGAGGAAGAGGGCACTACAGCCTTCATTCCTGGTATATCCTTCCAACATCTCCAGTGGGAGTCTCCTCATTCCTGGTATATCCTTCCAATAGCACCTCCAGTGGGAGTCTCCTCATTCTTGGTATATCCTTCCAATAGCAACTCCAGTGGGAGTCTCCTCATTCCTGGTATATCCTTCCAATAGCATCTCCAGTGGGAGTCTCCTCTGTAAGCATCTTTAGCCCTATTTCAGAAATGGGAGAAATTGAGGCTCAGTGGATAATGAGTTGGAGTCAGGTTCACACAGTCCCTCGAGAGGCAGAAATGGGATTTTAAACTTAACTACAGTGACCATGGACAGGGAAGCCTGGTGTGTCACAGTCCATGGGGTCATGAACAGTCGGACACAACTTGGTGACTGAACAAAAGTGACCATGACTATAGTGGAAAGGAGCAGGATCTGAGACTGGCTATTCCATGGGGCCAGGCTTGAGAGTCAGGCAGAGGGCAGGACTCCCAATCCATGCCATCTTCCTTTGCTTCCCCCCCCACCTCGATCTGGCAGTTCCCCAGGTGGGTTCCACCAGGCGCCTGGTCTTACTAGATTCCTGTTTATATGATCTCATTCATGTGTTGGCACCTGGCATTAGTTACTTCAGTATTTCATAACAAACAGGTCACGTCATCACCCACCTTTCATGCCTTAACCCCGGTGAATTTGCAAGGGTGAACAGGGGCATGTGATGGGGAGGCAAACTTTGTGAACCACCCTCCTGATGGACCAGTGTTCTTAACCTGTTTCCTGGTCTCCTCCAATGATCTGGTGAAAGGTATGAATACTCTTCGGAAAATCCACGCACACACCATTTTGCCAAAGCCATAGGGCTTCCCAGATGGTTCAGTGGTAAAGAATCTGCCTGCCAATACAGGAGACACAGATTCAATCCCTGCGTCAGGAAGATTCCCTCGAGAAAGAATGGCGACCCACTCCAATATTATTGCTTGGGGAATTCCACGGACGAGGGGTCTGGTCGGCTACAGTCCACGGGGTCACAAAGAGATGGACATGACTGAGGATGCATGCATGGCCAAGCAAACCTCCAATGCCCTGGGGAGAGCCCTCAGTCCCCATGTGAGGAATTTTTGCTTCAAACCCAGTAAGTACAAGACCCAGGCCGGGTCTACCTGGGATCATTCATTAGGTGTCCTGTGGCTGACTCTGAAGTCAGCCACACAAAGGTGCAAACAGCGTACTAGCTGTTTGACTGCAAGCCAGAGACTGTTTCTATTGAGCCTCAGTGTCCACACCTGTGCGAGACTGCTGCTCTTGATACAGTTCTGAGGCACCTGGCCCCACATTAAACCATTAATTGCAGCAAAGCCAGGCACTGAACTCAACGCCCTGTGCCCTTTCTGCCACAGCATGCTGCTTCCTGCTCGGAAGTTGCGGGACTGAAAGACGAGGAAGTGCTGGATGGCTCATCTGCCCTGTGACCTTGAGCCAGCCACCTCACCTCTCCAAGCCTCTCTTCTCCCTTGCGCAGCAGCTGGTGCTTCTTGCATTGCTGCCTCCCAGGACAGAAGATAATGGTGGGAAAGTTCTTTGAAATGCATCACACACCTACGAGGTATTATTAAGCTAATTCCAAGGAAATTGCCTGTAAGGTCCTCGGAGACTGAGCTGCTCAGGTGGCAGGGACAAAAGCTGGAACCAGCACACCAGTTCATTAGTCATTAGAGAGTGAAAGCAATTTGGCCCTAGGTCAGAAAACTCAGAGAGGAGAGTTGTCTTGTGTCATAAACACCTATCAAATGCCTACCAGGTGCCAGGCTCTATTTCATCTTAACATTTTTCTAATCCTCACCACCACCCAGCCACGTATCATTATTCCCATGAAACAGATTCAGAGAGGCTGAATAACTTGATCCAGGTCACATAGCAAGGAAGGGCCACAGCAAGGCAGCATCCAGCAACACCTAGCTCCAAAGTCCACGTTCAATTTTTTCCCTCGCCATTCCCTTCCCCTGGCACATATTTGGTCCCCAGTAGGGGCTTGTTGAATGAAAGACCTAGGCCCACCCCAGGTCTCCCTCTCATTTGTGAAAAGAGGATGATGGTGCCTCCTTTGCAGGTCTGTGCTTCGGATTAAAGATGCATAAAGCATCTACCAGCCTCCCTGAAAATGCAAGATTCTCCATTAACTGAGTCTTAACAGTTCACTATTGCATCAGCTCTGAAAAACGGACTTTGGGAAGGGATTTTTACTTTGTAAAAAAACAAAAAACAAAAAACAACAGGTTCAGAACAGATGAAGTAACTTGCCCGGGGCCACACAGCTCCTAAGTGACAAAGCAAGGATTCAAATTCATGCGTGTGAGAAAGCAGAGACGGTGCCCTGTCCGAGAAGACCAGTGACAGCTCTCCTGTGGATGTGCCGGACAACCGCCAGTGGCTGTCTTTCGACCTCATCATCTCTCACTGCTGGCTGGCACTCGTCTCACTCTCGGGGCTACATCCTAAATCCTCGCTTCGCTCTTGCAGAACCGCCTCTGGCGCTCTGCTCCCCGCCAAGGCTTCAGGAGGCCGGGGCAGGGGCGGGGCCTCGGCCCACGTGGCCCGGAGCCCGACTGGGCGGGGTCAATATAGCCCCGCCCCGGCCCCGCCCCCGGCCCGGCGACCCGCTCTCCCCCCCGCGGGCCCTGGGGGCCGGTCGCAGGTGTTCGCTGGCGCCCGGATGTCTGAGCTCTGGCTCCGCTCTGGCTCCGGCTCCCTCCGCAGCCTGCGGGCGGGGCTCCCAGCCCATCCGGAGCCTCGCGGCGCCCCTGCCGCTCTGCCAGCAGCGCGGCCTCCCGGTTCCCAGCCTCCCGGCTTTGGGGGCGGGGTGCCGGGCCACCCCCACCCAGCCGAGCTGCTGACCCGATCGCTCTCCCGCTGCCCCCAGCTGCGCTCGGACCGCGACGGCCTCGACGCACCCCCACCCCGCTTCCTGCCTCGGCAGTTTTGCCCCGGCCGGGCGGCCGCCCTGGATCGCACCCCGTTCCTTCCTTCCTTCATTCTTTTCAGGCAACTTGCATTCCTCGAGCGCCTGCGACGTGCCCCGCACGAGGCCTCTCCGACCTTCCGAGTGCGGGCCCCCAGCCCACCGGGGTCCTCCGGGAAGATTCCGCCCTCCGCCCGATCTCCCTCCCAACTCCGCCAGACTCTTCTTATCTCTGATGTCCGGTTTCACTCCGAGTTTAGCATTTAATTGTTCTCTGGTTATTTCTCCTGTTAAGGGTCAGTCAGTGGCAGGGTCAGGGGATCACTTTGTGACCGAAATCAAGGGTCAGTCTGAAAGTGGAGTGAGGGGTCAGAGTGTGGCCAGAATTGGGGTTTTAGCCAGACTGTGGCAAGGTTTGGCGATAGTGTGGGTGGAAGTTGGCAGTGGTCAGTCCACGGCAGGGCTTAATAGACAGAGTGTAGTAGCATCAGTGGCCAAAGTCAGTGAGTCAGTCTTGGGCAGGGTCAGTGAACAGTGTGGATCAGGGTACTAGGTCACCCAGAGACTAGGATTTGGTGGTTGCCTTTGACAAGCCAGATAAACTCAGTGGGGGGTGGGGGCGCGCTGTAGCTCTCTGAACTCAGATTCCTATCCCTCCACAGCTGGGGGCTGGTCATAGCCTCCCCCTGGCATTACTCAAGACTGTGAAGCTGGCCTTCCATCTGGGACACTCCCTGCCCTCCACACCTCCCTGCTCCTACCTTGTGCCAGATGCTGGAGGCAAAAAACCCTGGCTGGGGCAGACCCGTGGTAACTGACGGTAACACTGGCCATGGCAAGGAGGCCTTAGGCTTCTGAGGGACCCCCCCACACCTGGCGTCACCCGTGGGGAACAGGTACCTTGATCTTCCCTGTACCTTCTGCCTTTTGTTCACAAACCTAAAGCCTGTTGGGGATGGAAGGGCTCTCAGAGGTCACAGGTGTGGCCCAAGAGGGGAAGAAGCCTGCTCAGGGACACCCAGCAAGTTCGTGGTCAAGACAGGACTCAAGGGAACTCCCTAGTGGTCCTGTGGTTAGGACTCACACTTTCACTGGGAACTAAGATCCCATAAACATGGCCAAAAACAAAAAGACAGAGACCCATGTCTTTTACCTTTCCAGCTAGGGCACTCTTTGTGATCCTCTGCATACCCTGAGCAAGGATTCTTACTCCCACTTTAGAGATGGGGCAGCCGAAGCCCTGAGAGGCTTCCGGACTCACCTGGCCCTTACTGCCAGGGGCGAGTGGACCGCACAGCACCCAGCTGAGGAGCTGGACACGCCAAGTGGGAACCCGGCGATTCCCTGAAGCACTGCG